TAACCACTGTGCTACAGGCACTGAGCCTGTTATGTGGATTTTTTGAAAATATTCTCAAAGGGAGGATGTGTGCTCTTAACCTTGGCCATCATGCAGACATGATGGTTAGAGCTTGAGCAACCAACTGTGACCATAAGAAGGTACACAGAAGGTGGAGAAGAAGCAAAATTACAGCCCGGTTAACCAAACTGTGGCCAGAAGGCCAAATCCAGCCCCCACCTATTATATAAATACAGGTCTATTGGAACACAGTCACACCCTTGTCTTTATCTACCATCTTTGGCTGCTGTGATGCCACAATAGCAAAGTTGAGTAGCTGCAACCATATGGCCTGCAAAACCAAAACTATTTACTATCTGATCCTTTCGAGATAGTTTGCCAACCCCTAATTTAGAGGCATGGATCTACCACACCAACTCCAACCTGCATTTTATAGGAGAAAAAAACACCTTTCTTGTTTTTAGACTTTTAGTTTGGGTCTCTGTTGTTAGCAACTTAGTTAGTCTAACTGGTACTTTGTCCTTGCCTAAAATGACTCACTGTCCCTGAATGCAGTAAGTCCAAAGCTGAACTCACCAGCTCCCCTACCTAAGGAGTCTATTTCCCCTCCAGTATTCCCTGTGGGGGGAAGCAGCTCTATCACCTACCCAAGCCAAGTAGAAATGGTGTCATCTCGCTACACCTGAACATCTTAGCAATTCTGCCTCTTCAATCTCTCCTTAATGTGCCTACCACCTCCACTCCCACAGACACTTTCTTGGTTCAGGCCTTACCATCCCTCAATGGCAATGTTTTAACAGACCATTAAAGCAGCCTCCCAGCCCTCAGGCTTGCCTCCTTGCAATGCAGCCTCCACAGCACTGCTGGAATTAGCTTCCTAAGATACATATGTGAAAATAGAGATGTCTACTCCCCACTCCCAGCTCCTCCACATGCCTGGTTCCACTCTAAGGCTGGCAGTGGGCATCTGGTCCAGGCCTAGGCTCAGGGGTTGGTTTAGGGGTGTGCATGTGGCCTAGGTCATGACAACAAGAAGGAGGCATGCCAAGTGGTGAAAATGATGGACAATGATACTATTAAGAGGATAGTAAAGCATGGTATGAAAAATAAAAACACATTTCTGACGGCCTTGTTTGGGTTCCTGCATGCAGATATGTGAAACCAGGATCCTCCCTTAGTCTCTTCAGAGTTAACAGATGCCTTTTTCGCTTAAGTCAGGTTTGAGTTGGGCTTTGGGTACTTTTGATCAAAAAAAGGCCATCGTAGATAATAATTCCTTCCTCTGCATAAAAATCCTTTAATGGCTTCCTCAGTGCCATCAGGGAAAAGACTAACTAAACTTTTAGTTTACTAGAAAAGGCTGCTCAAGAGCAACCCACCCTCTTGGGGCCATTTGATGTTTAAAAGAAAAAAAGAGGAAAAAAAGAAGAAGAAAAGAAAAAAGAGCAAGGGCCTGGTGGCTCACACCTGTAATCCTAGCACTCTGGGAAGCCGAGGCAGGTAGACTGCCTGAGCTCAGGAGTTCGATACCAACCTCAGCAAAAGTGAGATCTTGATTCTACTAAAAACAGAAAAATTAGCTGGGCATTGTGGCTGATGTCTGTAGTCCCAGCTACTTGGGAGGCTGAAGCAAGAGGATTGCTTGAGCCCAAGAGTTTGAGGTTGCTGTGAGCTATGACACCATGGCATTCTACACAGGGTGACTCAAAAAAAGAAAGAGAAAAAATAAGAGTAGCCAGCTTCGCTGGGCTCATTCATTCATTCTCTCTTTCTCTCTCTCTGCTCCCATTACTCTGCCATCTCTCTCTGCATCTCTGGTCTATCTTTACATCTATACCCACATTATGCCTTCTTTCTGAATGCCCACCCTGATTCTCTACCTGAGGGCTTTAGGGTCATGTCTATGGGAGGGTTCTTCTTATCTCCTTAGCTCTGGAGTTGATTGTTGCCACCCTGTCTCTAACTTTACCACAGTATTATCACAGCACATTGTAATTGTAGACTTCTCTGACTTCTCCCATAGCAGAAGGAGCTCCTTAAGGGTATGTACACTATTTTATTTACTTCAGTGGAGCCAGTGCTCAGAATGGGGCTTAGCACGGAGAAAGTAGCCAACTGACTTTCCTCAAGTTCATTCTGAGCATTTGGTGGGCAGGGGCTTTATTTTTATTTTTTTGAGGCAGGGTCTTACTTTGACACACTTGATAGAGTGCCATGATGTCACAGCTCACAGAAACCTCAAACTCTTGGGCTCAAGCAATTCTCTTGCCTCAGCCTCCCAAGTACCTGGGACTACAGGCAGCCACCACAACACCTGGCTATTCTTTTTTTTTTTTTTTGAGATGGGGTCTCATTCTTGCTTAGGCTGGTCTCAAGCAATCCACTCACCTTAGCCTCCCAGAGTGCTGGGATTTACAGGCATGAGACACCATGCCCAGCACCAGGGGCTTTAATTTCATAAGCACACCACTGTTATCTGAGAAGGGTGGGCGTGAGTAGGTGGCATGTACATGCCAGCAAAGGCCATAAGAAAGAATATACTTGATAGTTACTATGTAGGAGTGAGAGGCCTCTAGTTCTGAGAGAGGCTTCATGAACTGAGACTTATTTTAATAGATGGGGAAACAATCTCAGCGAGTCCTGGAGAATCTGCTCATGCTTGTGTCAGGAAAAAATGCACATCTTTGGGTTCCAGGCCCAGGTTCTTTCTACCAGACCCTGTTACCTTCAAATAAGCCAAACCACCAGCTGAGCATCAGGATTTTAGAAAAAAGAGATCAGGCTTTTGGCCCTGGGAGGGGAGTGATCTGGTAGACTAGGTAGATATTATCTTCTCCCTTCTTTTATATCATAACAGTCTCACAGGGTGGTGCACTGTGACTCACATGTGTAATCCTAGCACTCTGGGAGACAGAGGTGGGAGGATACCTTGAGCTTTGGAGAACAGCCTGAGCAAGAGCAAGACCCTGTATCTACTAAAAATCGAAAAACTAATGGCCGGGCATGGTGGCTCACACCTGTAATCCTAGCGCTCTGGAAGGCCACGGCTGGAGAATGGCTTGAACTCAGGGGTTCGAGACCAGCCTGAACAAGGTCGAGACCCCTGTCTCTACCAAAAATAGAAATTTGGCTCAGCACCTGTAGCTCAAGTGGCTAAAGCACCAGCCACATATACCAGAGCTGGCGGGTTAGAATTTGGACCGAGCCTGCCAAACAACAGTGACAACTACAACCAAAAAATAGCCGGGCGTTGTGGCGGGGGCCTATAGTCCCAGTTACTTGGGAGACTGAGGCAAGAGAATTGCCTAAACCCAGGAGTTTGAGGTTGCTGTGAGCTGTGATGCTACAGTATTCTACCCAGGGCGACAGCTTGAGGCTCTGT